TGGCGAGTGTGGTTGTGATGTTTTATTTGATTTTGATCGTTCATCTCGTTTCGTTTCGTTTCGTTTCGTTCGTTTCCCAGGTAACGTTTGTGAATGGTGCGAAATATTCACTGTGGAGAAAATTTTTGTGGAATGATGTAATTTGACGGAGACGAGTGGAATATAGTGCTAATTTTGAAGGGGGGAACAGGTTGTAGGTGAAGGTAGGGAGGGTTAGAGGTGTGATTGGACGGGTTTAGGTGTTTGGTGGGTTGGTATCGTTTGTGAATGCTAGGGAATTTTAGTGGAATTGTCGTGGATCTGAGGTGTTTTGTGGTGGTGGTGGTGATGGTGGTAGAGATAAATGGAATGAGAGGACGGGACGGGGTTGGGGAATGGCTGTCGTTTGGCGAGTTTAGCTGTGCGTGTGTGTCTTTTGCTTTGATTCCGTTTCATTTTGCAGGTACCATTTGTGAATGATGCGAAATTTCAGTGCATTTTATTTCATGGATCTGACGTGTTTTGTGATATCCTTTAAGACTTATTCATAATATAAATGATAATTTAATAATAATATCAGATAGTGATGGTAATAAGTAATAATAAGTAATATTTTGTTAATGATAATGATAATGGTAAGTAATGATAAGTAATATTTTTCGTTGTTTACTATTGTGTTATTCGTTAAAACTCATTCGTAATATATAGTAATATAGTAATAATAATGGTGNTAGTAATATAGTAATAATAATGGTGCTAGAACGAGTTGGAATACGGGAACGGGTCGGGGTCGGGCTCGAGATCGGGGTATGGGTCGGGGAGTGGCTGTGGTTTGGCGAGTTTAGCTGTGCGTGTCTTTTGCTTTGATTCCGTTGCATTTCACGGGTACCATTTGTGAATGATGCGAAATTTTAGATTGTTTTTGGGTTCGTTTGTTTTAATGCGGTCGTTTTTCTGATTGATTAGCGATTTAAACGTTTAGAATCGTGTTTTTTGTGTGATTTGGAATGTGGTGAGAGTGTATTTGGACGGGTGTATTTTTGTTATGATTATTATTATTATTATTATTATTATTATTATTATGATTATAATTAAAATGAAAGAATGTTGCAGAAGGAAATATAAACGTTGAAATAGTTTACACGAGATTTGGTTAAGAGGGCTGGAATTTGGAGTGGAATCTGATGATTAATTGTGATTCGAGACATTTGCCGTTGATACGAGTGGAGGGTATTTGTTAATAGTGCTGATTTCGTGAGTTGTTTTATTATTTTTATGTTATTATTATTATTATTATTATTATTATTGTTATTATTATTGTTATCTTTATTATTAATATATATTGTTATTATTATTATTGTTATATATTGTTGTTATTATTATTGTTATATCATTATTACTTGTTACATTTCAAATTTAGTTTGAAAGAACATTG